TCCAATTCAGTATTTTCCCAAATGCCAAAAAATTCCTAGGGATCATCTAGGGTACTTGTTAAAAATACATTGTCAGGCCCTACCCCAGATGTCCTGAACCAGAACTTCTAGGAGATGGCTTGGAATTCTGTATTTTTAATGAATGCACCTGATGACTATGATTAAGTAATTTTGGAAAAGACTGCTTTAGTGCAATCCAGTCTGGAATCAGAATTAAAATTTTCTTACTCAAGAGGCAAGACAAGACTGGGAAGCAGGGCTTTTAAGATTTAGAAGGGTTGTATAAAAAGTGTATCAGGAAGGGATTCAGGAAGCAAGATGCTGTCTTGAGAAATAAGACTGCCATGTTCTAGGTGTGGAAATTAGGGCTCCAGTGAACTGCACCATTAAAAACAAGGCTCTAGTGCTGTGGGAAACTAGAGGAGGTGAGATCTTGAGAGAAAAGATATCAATCAAGCATCCTGACCACAGATGAGTGTGGTGGTTAACTCCCATTCTCTCGATGCAAATGAAAGATTTAGGCATGTGTAGTATACCTGTCTGACGGCCTATGGAAGTCGTGGGGTATGGCCATACCCTCGTGGGTAAGCAGCAGATGATGGCTCTCTTGAGAAGGATCTTGTACTGTATGGCAGCCACTGGGGCAAACGAATGGTCCTCAGGAAACCAAATTTCACCAAGGAGCCTGGACAGGCAGTGAAGGGACTCCAGTTTTTCCTCAAGGCCTTATTCTTTGGGTGTACACATAAAAGTGTCTGGTGAAGCTTCTGGTGAAGGTCCTTGAAGCTTCACCCTCTGGAGTTCATCAGGTTCATGGCAGGTATAATCATGTGCCAGATCTCCATAAGGTAAAGGCAAATCTCAGAGGACTTGAGTAGTGCTGTGAAGCCTAGGAAATCCTTCTCACAAGACAGCCTTAGTTTTCTACAACCTCAGAGGATGTCCTAGAAGTGGACATTACTTTCAGGTGAGGTTCAAGCAGTCAGGTGGAGGTGAGCATGAGATATAAGGAGATGATAAGTGGGTTCTATTGGACCAAGAGTAGTAACTGTTAGACTGGAAAGTAATACAATTTGACTTTGACCATTTTTATAGACTGAATGTTTGTGTCTCTCCCCTACCTCCAAATTCATATGTTGAAACCTAATCCCTAATGTGATGGTGTGTAGAGGCCTTTGGGAGGTATTAGGTCATGAGAGTAGAGTCCTCATGGATAGAAATGGTACCCTTATAAGGTGCTCAAGAGATCAGAGTTTCCCCATTCCACACAGCAAAAAACATGGCCTATGTGAACAAGGTAGTGGGTCCTTACCAAACACTGAATCTACTGGCACCTTGATCTTGGACTTTCCAGGCTCCAGACTGTGAGAAATAATTTGTGTTGTTTATAAGCCACCCAGTCTATGATACTCTGTTATAGCAGCCTGAATAGACTAAGACAACCGTAAGATGAATAATAGAAATTACAGATGCTTTTTAAAAATTCAGATAATAGCCTGGAGTATCTTTCTAAATTCTGATAAATTTGTTTTCCTCTCTCAACAGGAATCTCTCATTATTCTCTTCATGGCCAAAAGAAAAGATAGACTTTCTGGTTCACTGTTGTTTATGCCGATACTCCAGGTTATATTGTCATGGTTTGCATTCTAAGCTTCTCTTTTAGAATCAGTAAATAACTGAGTAAAATTTATTGAATGAACTACACTTGGCTGTCTTCATCTTTTAGAATCCTCTCTGCTGGTCACACTCCTTTGCATTGCTTATAACCATGTCAAAATCACTTCTTCATGAAACCTCACCTGGATGCTCTGTCTGTGTGTGACTTCTACATCCTTTGAGACCCCATAGCACATTGGTTTATAAGTCCTCTATGGCACTCACTATTTACATTCTTCCTTTTACCTTTAATAGCATTTCACTTCTCTTTATGTAGTATTTATTTATAAGCCTTCCTGTCCCTTCCATGAAGGAAACCTATAGAAGAAATAGGAAATAAATGAGAAAATGGTAATGAAAGGAGAACAAAGATAGGTCTATAAGATGAAGCCAACTGTTACAAACATTTAGTGGATACTTGCCATGTCCCACATGCTAGTCTCTGCTCTCCTGGAATGCAGAACTGAGTCAGGGCAGAGCTGTGACTTATGGACCAGTTCAACCCTCAGAAGCACTCGGATCAGCTTCAGACCATCACTAGAGGTTTGGTATTAGTAAGTTAGCCCCCTACCTACCTATCTTCTCACTGATTTACACACTCTTACTAGTACTGATGCTAGAAAATGGGCAACAGTGTATTCTCAACTGTGCTAGTATTTTTTATTCAAGGACTTCCCTTCTGACTTCATAGATACCTTGGTAGCTCTTCACCAAGCTTTCTTCAAGGTTCAGTGGTTTCCAAGCCAAGGCAGTAGGACCATTCATATAGTTATGCTGGGGAGACAGGATATCCCTCAATTTTTCCATGGCATCTCCATTCCAGCTTGTGTGTACTTAATATAGATTATCCAGTAAAAGGAATCCTTGGCAGTTTTTCATCAAGTTACAGCTGCCTCTTGTAAAAGAAACAGCCTTTGTAAGTTGTTTTCTCTACATTGGCTAAATGGCAGCAAATAAGATAATGATCATTTTCCAGATGTCATAAGAACAACTGATGGCACCAACATAGTCATTTATGGCTCCAGGGCAAACTATGGGGAGAATGTTATGACTGTACAAATATGTGAAAATGTAGATTATTATCATAGCAATGTAAAAAGCTACAGATTTCCCCCAAACCAGTACCTAGTTTCTGTATTTTGACCAAAATAATTGTAGAAGAAAGTCCATTCTAGGCCATTTTAAAAGCAAACCATCTGCATTAGGAATTTTCTTAAAAATATAAGAATACTTAATTTAATTTTCAATTTATATCTTTATGTATGAAGCAAGAATAAGGAAAAATATAATTGCAGTATAATTTTGATTCTAATTGACCTTTTAAAATAGTATTTTTATTATAATAACTATCACCTCAGATAATAACTAGTAATTAGAATTTTTCTCTCACAGGACTTATTTCTTCAAAAATGCTGATTTTTTTGCTGCTCTAGTTTCAAAATTTGACTGAGTTGCTAATTTAAGATCATAAGTTTAAGTGCTCCTCCTCCATGAATTAGAGTTTTACTCCTAGGCAGCTCTAAAAACTGTTAATTTCCTGAGTCTTCTCCCCCGTATATAGTAAAGTCTTTATTTTAACATAGAAAGAAGATATTAGACCCTGCCCCCTAAAAGAGTCAAGTGTATGCATTTATGTATACCAGGGGCTTTGCCAGCATCATTTTTGGGCTTTTTCTTGGGGCAAGGTTGCATCTGGTATAGTGCAGGGGTGGGGGAAGGGTGTCAAGAGGCATCCACCATGCTGGGTTGATGTAGATGAGAGTGTGCAGGGGTCAGCCTATGATCCAAGGAGCAGGCAGAGTCGAAACTGGGAGGTCATCAGGTGATGCTTGGAACCAACATGGGAAACCACCAGCCAAAGCCAAAGGGAAATAAGCCAGGAACCTGGGAGCAACTGCTAGGGGGATCCAAATAAATTTGTAAAAGGTTTCAGGCAAATATTTATTAAATACCTGACCATGTTTCCCAAGTGTTCTGACCACAATTTAGTAAGAACTACATTTTATATCTTAGCCTAACACACACTGACACACAGCCCTCACTGTATCAGAGTTCTACAAAGATCTTTACCTTCACCTTGGGTGAGGCACTCTGGAATTTTCATTTCTCTTAGGTTCTATTCTATTTCATTTAAAGATGTTGATAGGATGGGCGCCTGGCTGGCTTGGTCAGTGGAGCAAGCGGTTCTAGATCTTGGGGTTGTGGGTTCGAGCCCCACGTTGGGTATAGAGATTACTTAAAAGTAAAAAATCTTTTAAAAAATTAAATAAAGATGTTGATTGGAGATTTACAAATTGCTTTCATGATCTGTTAATTGATAGAAAGCCATAGCTTAAAACGTACTGTCTTGGGGACTGGGGAGATGGAATAAAGAGAGTTAAAAAAAAAAAAAAAAGACTAAAAGACTGGAGGACATGGTTTCTGATTTTAAGGAGATGGAATGCTCCTAAGGAAGTTGGACTGTAACAGGTGAAACAACCAAATATGACACATATAAAGTAGAATAAATGGAAACAAGCCAATTAACAGGGAAATTAACATCAACACAAGTTAGTTATAGAGGTGTTGGCTTCAGATATGAATAGCTGAGGACAGCAATGAGGCCCCCCATAGATGGGGTTAGCATCTTACTCATCTTCATAGCCCTTTACTGCCTGACACACTAACATGCACTGATGTTTGAATAACTTAGCACAATGAGAATACAAGGCATTGTTGTTATTCCGTGTTTCCACAGGGCTGAAGTTAAAATTCTTATTTTTTATTTAGGAGAATACCCTAAACGATTTCCCATGACACTTTAGTAGAAATTAGTTTATCAGATTACTGTAGTTATTGGCCTTGGATTGACTCTGAGGCTGTGGATGGTGAATGTCAAAGGGAGACCTCAGGAGGGTGCCGGGGAGCCTCACAGACACCCACAGAAAGGAAATATGTGTCAGAGCACTGAAGTCTAACTTCTCTACTTACTCTTAAATAATGATTCGGCCTAGGCCACTGCAACGTTTACTTAAATAATGTCTTGTAGTTGTCTCCTTTCATTTTTTTAATGCTGTGTGTCCTCAATATCTCTACCACAAATAGATTTTATTGTTGCTTTTCAAGACTAGGCACTATGGGTCCTCCCCTCCCCCACTCTCGCACCACCACCAAATCTACAATGTTGATACATAGAAGATGCTCAGAAATCACCTGTGGGGAGAAAATATATCACTCCATACAATTAGCAATTATCTCTGCCTTGCTCATTTTATCTTTAGCCTAGCACACAATAGTCATAATTTTTATATGAATAAATAAATTTTCTCAGTGGTCTCTGAATTCCACACCCTCTTTTCTTTCAGGGCCGGGAAAACTATCATCTCTGACAACTTAAATTCTCATTTCCTTGTATTCATTACATGTGTAAGTACACAACAGAAGCATTAACTTTTTCAGTTAAAATTCGGGCAGAGAGCTACAATCGATGATTAAATACTCTAAATGACTTTCATATTTGTGATGGACTCTAGAGCTAGGGGGCTAGTTGAACCTGACCACAGGTTACCCAGTGACCTGAAATGATTCAGTAGTATCAACTCCTTTTTGAAGTTGTAAGTTAAATAATCTTTATATGTTAGTATAGAAGATGGTGCATTTAAGAACTTCACGTTTTTTCATACTCAGCTATCCATAGTCTTTTTTTAGGGTTGTTGCTGGCAATTGCTTGGATTAACTATGAGGAAATATCCATACGTTCCTGTGGTCATTAAGACAGGTTCTTCCACCCTGAAAAATTTCCATACTGTTCTTCCACCAAGAACAACTCTTGATGTAGCTGGAAGAAGTTTAGAAAGTAAGAATATTTCTGTGTAATAATGTTGCACAAATATTGGAATGTATTTCTGAATTGCAGTCCACAATTCTGCAATTTATATCTACCATATTATATTTGTTTTTATTAATTACATAAAATATTTTTCAATATCCCATAAAAAAGAAAAAAATTAAAACGGGCATTTCTTTTTTTATTAAATATCCTTCTACAACATCATTTCAAGAAGTGCCTTGTCTTCCACCTAAGGAATGGGTCATAATGTGAATAAGTTTAAAATAGAATTTGCAACAACAAAATACCTTATTCGAGCATCCACAGTTTCTGCCAAGACTTCATTCTCAGCTGCTAGGAAAATAACACTCAACACAAAGAAATGTCAGCTTCGGATAAGATAAATGGTTTAAATTTGATGTCTCATTGAAAGTCTGATTCTTTTCTCTCTAAAATATCAAGAATCTTTGTTCCAGGGGGTATAAAGAGAGGAAGATCCTTATTGTCTTGGCACTCACCAAGGGAGTACCTAGAATTCCTGTGTTAGTTTCTTTAATTTTTAGATGGTACCTAGATGTTAAACTGATAATTTACTCTTTTGGGAAGTTTCTAAGATGAGAAATCCACTCTTTGTGATACAGGGTAGTCTAGCAAGCTAGATAAGATGAATAGCAAGACTTTGTAGGATCTTTCTTGATTATATTTAATAACACTCTTTATTAAATATGTATTTTTAATAAAGTATAAATAAGTATATTTAATAAAGCATAAGTAAGTATATTTAATAAAGAGTGTTTATAAGTATATAAATAAATAAGTATAAATAAATTTATAAGTGTTAATCCAGTCATTTCTTAAGCAGCTACTCTTTGTTGGAATTGGGGAACAAGTATGAGTAAGACCTAATTTTGTAAAGAAGACAGCTTTTAATCTTCATTGACAAAGTGAATCATCACTTGTAAATGCTTCTGAAGAGTATAAATTATTGCAAATAACATTTGTAGGTTTTTAAGAAAAATGTAACTCATTATCATACACATCTGCAGCACAAATGGCCTGGTCTGCTTCTTGCAGAGTATTATACTTCTTCTGTCTTGAGGCCCCATTCTGGAACTTTGGGTTGCTTCCATATTTGCAAGTTCTTAGTAATAAATCACCAAAAAGAAATGTTTAATAACTATATACAGATAGTTGTATTTGATGTCCACATTGATCATCATTAACTTGGTGCCATTTATTAATGTCCCACGATACCACATGCTCTTTCTGATAGAGATTCAACCATTACATCACCCTCCGTCATCCACTGATGGATGTCCTATCACCTGTTCAAGAGGGTCTTCTGTCCTTTTGGGAGCATTAGCTGCTACTTCTTTCTTTCATTGATTTGTCAAATATTTATTGAGCACCTAATCTATGGTGTTGCTGCTCTCTGCTTATAATACCACATGCCTTGTGCCTAAGGTATTACCCTGCCTTTTTCAAAGTCCTGTTTTGATAATTGTTCCAGCACATGTCCTGAATACTCTGGGGATTTTTTCTAGTACTTGGACTAATGGCAAAGTAAGGTAACTCAGATTTAATTGACTGTAGATTCAGATTTACTTGATGGAACCAATGAAAATTACGGGCATTTAAAAATTTGAATTAAGATTAATTAATTAAGATTAATTGAAATAACAAAGTAATTCCCTAAATTAATTAATATATCATTTATTAACTGCCATTAAACCCTTGTTAATTAAATAAAATAGTAAAGTTAAATAAAAAGATGGATAATTTCCTAAAGGAGATGAAATTGTGATTTAAATATCTTTCTTAATTGGTTTAGTAGACAAGCACATATTGCATAATTCATCTAGGACTTGGAACTGCAGGGCGACGAAAGACTCCACACGGGTAGAGCATTATGAGAACATTATGAGAACAGGAGACAGTGAGGATCATTTCCAGAGAATGACTGTATTCTACTTTATTCTATTTCAGTGGTTATTAACTTTTTCTTGGTTAAGAATTCAATATACATAAGTCAACTAATGGCTACCAATTATCTCTTATATGCCAAGCATTGAAGCATAGGAGCTAAGGATTTATTTGAACAAAGGAGATCCTTTTGAGAATTTGGTGAAGGCTAAGGACTCCTTCCAACAGAAAAAAAAATGAAATATTACATGCATATTCACGCCAGTTTTTGCACACAAACTCTCAAGAGGTATGTAGACCTTTGAAGTTCATCCATGGGGATCCCTAGGTCTGTGGATTCAATTTAAGGACCGCTGCCCCTTTGAAGTTATTCAAGCTAGGAATGATGTTATAAGTGCCTTAGGACTAGTCACTTAACCTCCTGAGGCTTCCATTTTCTTGTCTGTTAAATGAGGGCAGTAGATAAAAGTCTTCCACTTCTAAAAATCTGTCAGCGGATGCTGCAAATTTGCTTGTCTATTTATGTCATTACCTCTCTGTTGCTCATACTGGTGTGTGGGGATAGGAAAGAATAGTACAAATAGAATAGGAATCAGAGAATGTTCTGTAATTTAGAGACCATATAAACTCCATGAGAAGAGGCAGTGGCAGTCTAGATGGTAAAGGGTCCCTTGGTGAGTGAATGTCAGAGTTAGGACCTGGTTCTGTATTTCCTAACTTCCAGCCCGCAAGTCTTTCCACAATGCCACAGCCTGTATGGGCATTTATCCCCACTAGTGCCCATAAAGTAATTATACTAGATTAATGACGATCTCCTTGAATTGATATGCTAAATCTCAATTGTTTACTTATTGAATTAAGATACTTATCTTTAATTAGAGGTATTACTAATGAAAATATTTTATAGACTTGGCATGAAAGATACTTGGTATGAAAGACATTTATGAAATTCAAGGATATTTGGGAAATCCAGAAAGCTTTACTAGTGGCAATAATCCTAGTGTTATTGGTTGAATTGTGGTCCCCTCAAATTTATACACTGAAGTCCTAACCCGCAGTATCTCAGAATATGACCTTATTTGGATATAGAGTCTTTATAGTGGTAATCAAGTTAAAATGAGATTATTAGAGTGGGCCCTAATTCAATATGACTGGTGTCCTTATGAAAAGGGGAAATTTGGAGACAGGCACTCACACAGGGAGAATACCATGTGAACATAAAGGCAGAGATCCAGATGATAGGTAGATGCATGAGTCAATATTTAAAATATGTGATAGTTGAGCCTGTTACAAAAGACTAACATACAAGTAACTTATCCCCATCACTCATTAAATCTCACCATTGGAAATGTTGACAGTCATACATACAGTAATGTGATTAAAAAAAAAGTTTCCACTTATTGTTACAATGTGCCAAATATTATGAGGCATACAAGTATACTATAAGCTACTTTGTTTAAATTTGTATCTTTCTAAAATCTTTTTAATAATTCAAGAATGATAAGTGCTATACCTTTTTTATTCCACTTAATGACTCATGTACTTACTGATGCCAACAGTATTTGAGTTAAAGCTGTGGTTCCAACATTAAATCATTCTACCACATTTCACAATGAATATTTTTAGCAAATATTTTCCAGTAACTATTTTTGTAGAAAGATAATAAAAAAAATTCCACTAACTATTTGCCCTGATCTGAAAAATATTTCTGGCATCCACAGTTAAATATTTTGACAGTCATGTGAATTTAATATGAATAAAGCAAACTCTCAGGTACAAGGGAAGACACCACAGAAAGAGATAAAATAATTGTTTTGCAGTAAATTATTATTTATTCCATGGCATAATTTAAATGCATAAAATGAAAGCATTTTTAGATGCTTCTGATAATTTTTGTAAGCATATTTAAAAAATACTTATCACTATAAATTATTGGAGAAATTCTTAGCAATATTATAAAATATACTGAATATTTTAAGTTTGAGATTTTTATGGTGATGGGGTGGGTCAAGACAGTAATTTAGGACTCTGAGGAATAGATTCTTATGTAGTTAAATCAGTTTAACCAACATTTATAAGTTGATAAAAATAATATATCTTATTTTCACCTCCCAGATGTGTAATAATGTTAACATGTGATTCACATTTTATTACATTTAATTACATAAAATTATTCATGCAAAACACCAAGGTCATTTGCCTGGCACAAGGAAAAGTGTTCAGGATATTAGGCTGCAACCCCTCACCTCCTAATTAAATTTAACAAAAATGTCAGTTGCATACCATTGTGCCCAACATTATACTAGATTGTCTAACTAAGAAAATGTATTTTTTTCTTTAATTTATTTAAGGTATAAATATATCTCAAGGTCTGAGAAAAACTTTAAAGAGTAGTATTCAATCCAATAAATCTAGATTGATGTTTCAAATTAAAGCAGGTAAGAATTAAAAAAAAAAAAAGATTATGACATTGTCTCTAACCTTGAGGAATTTTGTTGCCACAATTTGATAATAAAACCACATGTAAATAAGTACTCTGTTGCCTTATATAAATGGTAGATAAGTAACTGTTTAGGGAAGGGCAGTAATGTGACCTGGAGTGGTCAGAGAGAATGTGAACTGAATCTTAATGAATGGAAAAGGTTTGAACAGGCAGTGAAGAAAGAGAGAGCTT